GATATACATTATATACTATACTTGGATAACAAATGCATCACTCCACCTTTTGGAGTTGATCCTTGCAATTAAGATGAGCAAAAAACAATCGGTCAATTCAATTAACTGAAATGAGAAAAAAAGCTGTTTCGACCGAAATATCCAGGTCATTAGTGTAGCTAAAGTACGATGCAACGAATGTACTCGATTTTGCAGAATAAATCTAGTGTCAGAGCTATTTACACTGAAATGTCTTTCAAAGTGTTGCAGTTGTCTAAATTTGAAGAATTTTAGAGAAAGAACGGTGGTATCTAGTCCCACAATCAGTTCGTGGTAGATCTAACTCGGTTCTATATCTGAGCACATTTGAGTAAGTATTTCTAATAAAAGCTCGCATGCCGTTAACACGCGACTGTGAAAATCCTGTATCCAAGCTGTATTTCTTATCTTTAGCTATCTTAGTAACCCACTGAGGGATATTTCCTCGACTCTGTACAGTTACTATTTGACTTTAGATAACATAAGAATCTATCAATTAACATTTTATTTCACAGATACAACAAATCACGTTTGAAACAGACAATTAGTTCGATGGGGATTTGATCACAGGTAGCGAAAGTATGTTACAAAAAGTGAATTTCAGAGCCATTGCAAGTAATCGATATTTTGAGAACACAAAAATGGAGAGGGAATGATTCTCACAAATAAAGTTCTGCTAAAACGAAATTTATGATACTGCAGCTAAAACAACATACTGATAGCGTTATAGCTCCAGCCGCACTTTGGTCAGACGTTGCCGACGTATAGAAACATAGTTTACGATATGATCCACAGCGCAGAAGAAATATACACCCGATTTTTCAAGATCCGCGCCACTGCATATGCGCACAACCGGATCTATTCAGATCAGTGATTCCAGCGCTATAAAACTGCAATTAAGGGAACTGGTATGCACGAGTGATATAATATCATATCAACGACAACTGCAGAGGTAAAAGTCTGGTGTTACGTGATTGAATGAAATGATATGGAATGTTTTCTGGGAAAGAAAGGAGAATTTAAACATCATAACAAGATGGGCAACAAACGTTCAAAAGAAAACTACGGAACTTCACCCAAAGTTGGTGAAAATATACACATAAATGAACATCCTTTTACGACAAATCGAAGAGTTTTGAGAACGGTTTAACCACTTGCACTCTGATTGTGTTTGTCCAGAAGTTTGACGCTTTTCCAATATGACCCAATACCTCAGCCTAAAATATTCGAAAACAAAAGCGAGTCGAATCGTCAAGAAAAGAAAAAAGCGAAAATGCAGAAAACCAAATTTCCACCTGACCAGCTGTATGCGTGATAGATGAAAAACTTAGGAAACTACCTTCAACTTGCCGCGCTGCCCAGTTCTTCTGGTCCTCGTGGAGCAGGCGGCTCGTGCGGAAAATCTAAAGAGACTTCGATATTTTGGACCATGTAAGCCAACATAACTTACCCGGAACATCATTGCCTTCGAATTCTTCGTCACTGTCGTTATCTTGTAATGACGCGTCACCATTTTCGATTTCGCAATTGAAGGAGGGAGCGGTTCGGTTTGGTACAGGAGGAGGAGATTCCTTTATCAAAGTATGATTAAAGAAATTAATCATCTTCTTCTTTGGAAGTATTTTACAAGCTGTGACCACTGTTGTTAGTATCCCTTACATCATCTACTGAAAACTGATGTAAGGGCTCATTAGTTTTCGATAAAAGATGTAGGGGATGCTGGATTGCATGCTACCGGCAAAATAGACTGGGATCGTTTGAGCTTATTACAAGTTTATTTTTAAAAAAAGTAGCTCATATACAAACAAACTGAAAGAAGGCTTGTATTTAGAGGACAGCGCGAAAATATTTACTCGTTTAAAGATGCTACAAACTCACATGAGAGTCATCTTTAAGTAAAGGATGCGGTATTCCTAATCGTTCCCTACAATAGTGAGCGACACATTTGTGAACAAAATGAAATTGGTCCTAAATTAAACAATCCTGGCAATGGATAAGCTGTACGGAATGTACAACAAACCTGGGTTTGCACCATGCTCGCCCTTTGCTTCCTTAGGCTCATCACAAGCTCAAATATATCCAAAGAATCCAACTCCTCAGATTCAATTAACTCTCTTATGTAATTTACAGATATTATCGTTCCAGTGCGACCTACTCCAGCACTGCAAATTGTTCATTCAGTTAACGTACAGCTTGGGTAAAAGAGATTTTAGAGATATGTATTACCTGCAGTGAACAAGGACAGGAGCTGTTGAATCTTGATTATATTTAGCCATCTTTTCAATCATGTTAATGAGTTGATCTTCTCCAGATGGACATCCATGATCAGGCCACTCTCTGCAAAGGTATGGACTTGCTAGATCGAGAGTGTACTTATCAATAAGGGAAAAGAATTCAAAAACAGTTAAGAGAGATTGAAGAAACTGCAAAATAACCTGTAGTGCAATTGTGTGATTAATCTTGATTCGCCAGTCTTTTGATTAGTCATTTTCAACTTCCTCATTAAGTAGTCATCGTCAACAAAACTGCAATAGTTTTCTTCTTTTCCCAATATGATTCGATAGAAACGCTGCCCGTGGCATTAAAGCACTATTATCATAATTAGAATCAACATTCATCTTAATGGGAAAATCAATAGCGAAAAGCGAGAGTCAAAGCAAAGAAAATTACAAGTTTCTCTATGCTGGCAAATATTCGCATCTTTCAGCTCATAACAAAACTAATTTAGCTTTTTCATACCTCCCGAGAAGTGAAACCAATTAGATAGAATACAAATGTCTTCATTGGCAAATGAAAGGGAAGGGAGTAAAGAATACCTCTCCTCCGACTCCAACATGATTTCGTAGGATCCGAAAATGAGACTTTGTCCAACTTCCGAAGGCCAATACCGCTCACATTTGACCTCAAATAGAGTTCTTAGTGTGGTAAAATCACATAATTCTATCTCCTACCTTACTCATTTCCACTAGTTTGCATAACATAACAATTAGTACAACTTTCTGTTCGTCCACCATTTTCCACCTGAAGAAGGTTAAATAAAAGCTCTATATTATACCTCAGCATCACCAACTAAAATATGATTTCCAAGGAGGGAAACCAAAGCAAAATTTTTGAATGCGAACCATTCTTCGAGTGTGGAGGTTAGTGGAGCCTGAGCAGCAATAAAGTGCATACGTCCCTTTGGAAGTTTGATGAAAGACGCGTTGATATAACCATTTGGGTTATCGTCAGTTGTTGAAAGAACAACACGATTACGATCATCTGGAATTCGCTGAATTACTAAGAAAACAACTGTGAACCGAAAAGATAATTCTGTGAAAGATCGCTATTTTTT